TTATTAATTATTATTGGTGATATAATTAGTTTAATTGAACCATCCCTGGCAAATGCAGTGTCACTAAGGTACATTCCTTTTTTTCTTAATTTTAATATTATTCTTATTTATTATTATTATTATTATTATTATTATTAGTAATGTTTATCAAGTGACATCATCAGTTGTGAGGCATTGCTCAAAACTCATATACAGCAAGGTAATGAATACTACTAAAGTCACTATTAACTAATAATAAATGGTCACCTTATAGACTGATAGCAAGTGTCTACTGCCACTTCTGTTGAATAAGCTAATGATTTCATCATCATCAGGCCAGCCACCAGAAATACCAGCACTTATTCGAAAATACTTATGTCACGTAAATAAATAATCATTTTTCTTATTTATCTCATTTTATTCTTTATAGTTCCTTCATGGTTTGTTTGTGATTAATAAAGATCAATTTATTGACAGAAAAATAAAGCAAATTTTCTCACATTATTTTCTGAGCTATCTTCAATCCGACCCAAACTCATCCACTAATCCATTTGTATTGTTAGTATCTCCAGCTTTTTATGAAACTCCCAATAAATATGATTGGTTAGTCAATTTTATATAATGTACAGTTTATGTAATATTGATATTCCATGCTTTACATTGTTGAATATTTTTGCTTTAATTATAGTTGTTCATATTCAACTCCAATGTTGTCGGAGTTGATAAATGCCTTAACACACATTACACTCTAACTATTGAATAATTTGTCATAATCTTCTTATTTTTAGTGACGTGTTTCTGAGAGTCCTTGACATCATATCAAAGCAGCAACTAATGATAGATGAATCAATTCCTAATGTCAACAAAGTAAGTAAACAGTAATGTTATGTATTAGTAAGGGACTACAACTCATTTTATTAGGTTCTCAATTTCCTCCATATGTTATCGTCAAGAGTTAAGTACTACTATTTAATACTGGAAGCTACACCAATTCTTCTTGGACCACTCCTCTCATTATTCTTAAGGATGGGGCCACCCCCCTCCACTCAGAACTGTGTTGTGATTATTAAGAAAATATTTAGGAAATTATTTGAAGCTAACAAGAGTCATGCTGATGAATTACCACAGTAAATAGTATTTTTTTAATATTTATGTTTTTTGTATTTTTAGTTCTAAGTTAATGCCAGTGATACAAGAGTATCTTGTCAGCAATTTATTAAATAATAAGGTAAAGTGAGTGTGACATAGTGTTCACTATTTAAAGAAACACAGTTAACAGGAATAAAGTCAATTTAAAAATTAACATAACAAGCCTGTACTGAGACTTCAAAGTTTAAGCCTTG